GACTTTCTAATCGTTACCGAATTCAATGACTATATCATAACTACTTTTATCTCTTGCAGCTTCACCTACAATTTAATTTAAAAAAAGAATCGGTTCATCATGTGATTTAACATTTACAACTTAATTCAATCATTGAAAAATTGAAAAAGTACTTTACACATTTTTTTCTTTACCTATCTTTTTAATTTTTTTTTTAAATTTTCAAAAAAATTTTTTTTTCATTTTTGGTCCTGAGACCATAACAAAATCTGGAGACAAGCCTTTCCCATGATTCCTTAGTGTAATCTTCGCTCTTAATCAATTTAACAATAAGTAAAAACCATCTTTGGAGGAAACTCCTTGCCAATTGATTGACAGCGGTTAATTCCATAGTGATAGTTTATTCGCGAAATTTATATAGATTTCATGTAAAACGTGGATTATACACGACTTCAAATTATTTTTTCTGATTATTCATTTTTACGGAAATTCGATAAATTTAACTTAAGGCTCGTAAGTACATAAAAATCAAAAAAAATTTATTTCATTTTTGAAAAATATTTTTTCCTCATTTTCATAGCATTTTTTAAATTTCAAGAAGTTTATTTTTTACTCCGTTTCAGCCGTTTCCGTGAGCCTTTTCGTACATTTTGCATGCAATGTTACATTTTACGATACAAGTGACATGAGTAACACTTTTTAGCCCGGCGTAGTTTAGAGTCCGAGTGTAACGAAAATTACTATTATGTGTTTCCAAAATGCACCTTACTTCTCGTAATTTTCAGAACAAACCATTAAAGTTGCAGCACGTGGATATACTTCTTCAGAACATGAATAGTCACAGACACAATCACCGGGGAGATAATTGAACTTTGAGCTTTCTTCCTGTAAGTACTTTCATGTTAGATATTGCGAAAGATAACGAAAAAATAAGTAGTTTGCGTATTTGTGACCATTGATGTTCTGAAGAAGTTTACGCAATCCTGGTAGTGTAGCTTCAACGGTTAGCTATGAAAGTTACAATAAGTGAAGTGCATTTTCGAAAAATAAAAAACGCCAGAAAGCGCAAAATAAGAAAAAATTTTAACATACAAATTATACAAAAAAGGTTCACAGAAATATAGTAAAAATAAACATCTTGAAATTTAAAAAATCTGATGACAGGCTCGACGAATTTTAATATACCCCATATACATTGATCAATAAATTAAAAAAAAAAGAATACTTTGCAATGATTTATGTTAGATTTTGATGAAAAAATTTCTTTAGTTTAGATACACGTTTAAACAATCAGTTTTTTCAGTAATTGTTAGTGTTGCGCTCAAATATTATTGGTAGCTCGATATTGTCTTAAACCCATTAATGATATGTATATGGATGTAAAGAACAAAAAATTTCCAAGAAATCAAATAAAATCGTCTCGATACCATCAACATAGACGAAAATAAGTATTTGAAAATTAACAAAATTTTGATGAAAATTTTTGTTGTGATAATTTTGTTGCCCAGTGTATAACGGAGGCTGAAGTATTACTGAAAATAGTACTTTCCAATAAACTAGCAAGAGTACTCGTAAAAAGTAGTGCTTTCATCCATTTTGCTCACTGATAATTTATTTACTAAGCTGGAATTTTGTGTCGACAAAGAGGACACTCAAAGAGATTACAATCGAAATAGTTAAAAATTCGCAAATATCGCGAGACACTTTTCTTATTATACGTACGCTTTTTTCAAACAAATAAAGTGAAAAAATAATGTATTGTACGCTCATTCAAGTATCATACGAATGAATCGATTTAATTCGTTTTTTTTTATATCTGACAGATGGAACATTTCGTGTATTTTTTATAGCTACTCGCTTGGTAGTTACATTTAGACATAATGATTTAATCAGCGAAAAAATAGCTTACTTAATAATGAAAAATTGCATTAACGTGCATAGAAATACATTTTTTCACTTTACTCTAAATTATGTAAGCCAAGACATATGGACGTTGAATTTCAGTGAAATCAGTCATATATATATATAGTTACACTGTCATTCATATGTATGTTTTTATGTTTCTACGTAAATGTTTCTGTTGCTGCTTCGTTAGATTCGTCAGGTGACTTGCATACATATTCATATGAAAATAATCAGGAGTAAGCAGCAGTATAAAAGTCGATAGTACTAAAGTAGGCACGTGCAGCTATCAGCTCGTGCATACTACACTGCGTTTGACACAGCAAAGGGTCTAATTTCCGCTTGAGACGGCCTCTTTTACCGCTATTAATGCGCAACGAGCATCTGAATATTCGTAACACGACCAAATTCGTGTGTTTGTATGATCCTTCGAGCGAGTTGTTCAATCGTCCCCACATGCCGATGATTGTGTTTATGTTCATTTAGCCCGAGCTGCGTCCAACTTTTCATCTTTTTTAGTTCGACTTCAAATAAATACATTTTATCGTTCAGTAAGGTAAAACTTGAGAATGGACTGATGCGCGCTTGGAGCTTACAAGAATTGACCCCAATGGCATCTCTATCTATATTTTGTATTGAAATTAAGAGATAGGCGCGAGCTCATTTTCGTCGAGTTTTCGTCTTGGCCTGTGCGCGGCACTTGTGATCCACTGTTATATCGTGATGGATGTGCACGTAAAAGTCGATGAGTAATTTCAAGCCGATGATTTTATCGTGCAAAACAAGTGCCGTTAAGCCAGACAGACTCGTATTTAAGATTTATTCGTGAGTACCGAGAAGGATAACTGAGCTATCTTATGCGCCGCGCGACTCAATACGATAAACAGGCACATAATGAGAGAACAGCTCGAATGCAAAAACCTCGCGCGAGTTTGGCATTGTCGCGTACTTTTATCACTTTTATCGGCGTTGAATAAATAAATCCATCCTGTTCAAACCGTATCTGCTCGCACCGGTAAAAATCATCAGCTCTTCCGCAATATCTTCCTTTTGCCAACTGTCAATATCCCATACGCGAAAAACAAGCGTATCGCGCGCAGCGGGAGGATGTGTCGCGTATCGAAGACTGTACTTACTCACTCACTCACAATAGCTATAGTCCAAAGCGAATGTGCTTATTTACGGGCTTTCTCTTTTCGAATCTTATTGTTCTAATTTGGGGTCAGGTCGTGAGTCGTTTGAATTTGCGAGCTCTCGACTCGATTTGCGTCTTAAGCTCGTCTCTCGTTGGGCTGTTTAGCCACAGTGACGTTTTTTGAGAAGATCGTGGAGGTTTGCATTGTGGAGCATAGGTTTCCGAATTTTCGGGCCTTCCACTGAATCCGTCAATGATTTACTTCGATTGTCTTGTTTTATAGTAAACACATTTATTGCAGATTAAACGATCTCAACAGAGAAGATGCGTCGATTTTTTTTAGCTCAAGAAAAGGATTCTATCTGGCCAAAATTACTTTTTATTTTCTATTGATGGAGAGAGTAAAGTATGAAATATTCAGCAGTCTACATAATTGAACTACATAATCGATTGAAAAATTGCTAATCATTTCTCTCCCGTACAGACTATTGTACAAAAGCGAATGACTGTCCACTTAGTCAAATGATATTTCAATCAATCATTGCCATGAATGTTGATTTAATTTTGGTAGTCTTCAACACATGATTACATTTTAGGTATATGAATTATTTACAAGTAAAGAATTTCAATGCAGATTTCTTCAATTTTATAGAATGGAATTACAACATTTAAAATAGGTTAAACATCAATAATATCAATCATATCGATATTTATGATAAAAATAAATTGATCGTTGTCTCTTTAAAATTCAATATCCCCATTAATTATTGTTTACATCTTTACTCTTGCTAAGATCAAATGTTTAAATCGGTAATATAAAAAATCATAACTTTGCTAACTGGCTACACTGCAGCATCTAATTTGAAAAAGTACAATGCAAAGCCAAGCTTCTTCATAATAAGCTGCTTTCAGTTATACGGTAAAAGCAAAGGAGATAAATATGACTTGGACTTGGAAATTCAAAACCGGACGTTTTTAAGCATTGTTACGCGATATTTCTCGTGCGAGAGGAGCTACGAGTTGAGTTGGCTCGTCGTCGTCGAGTCGTGTGCGGCTGTCAGCGCGTCACGAAAAACGAGACCTGTCCGCGTGTGCGCGTATAAGTAGGCTCGTCGGCGCGTCCTTGCGTGCTGCAGTCCACGTTTATGTATGCAGCAGCAGAAGCAGCAGTCCCTTTCTCCGGATTGGCAGCCCGGCTATCGGATTTCGATATTCCCTTTCTTTTCGAGCCTCGGCTCACCGAGAAATCCTTCGCTCTCGGCTCTACCTGCCTGCCTCTGATATGCTAGCATATGCAAGCCGCACAAGTTTCGCGTATATTTATGACCTATTTGACGGGTAAAGAGTCGCGTCGGTGCAAGAATAGGTTCGAGTTTAGATGAGTGTGGTGCTAGAGTTGTCTGGAATTGCATTCCTCCGATGAGATGAATCCCACTTGCAGTCCTACGTATACACATGAAATGATTTCATTAAAGACTTTATCTGTTCATTGAAACATTTATTCTACTTTTGTATACATATAATAAATAAAATCTTTAAACACTGAATATTTTATTAATTCCAGCATTTAAAAGTTGTTCATAAGTGTATTTGTTGAATCTACGAAATGCGCATTTAAAACTGATGTTCGTCAGAATTTCTACTGTATTAGCTGGGAACAACTAAGTTAAACGGAATCACCCTTCGTTGAATGTTTCCTCTTTGAAATTACTACGATTGGCTGTTTCGCTGTGATGGGTTTGACCCGAGAAGGGCTCCTGATTGATGGGCGTGTTTGGCGGACATAGGAAATGATTGATTTTCTGATAATATACAGTCTGGGGAATATGAAGCAAATATTGAAAATATGCAAGTTTTTAGTAACTCTATTTCGCACAGCTCTGTCATTGATAAATGTAGCATTTTTTAAATTAAAATTACAACGAAAAAACATTCAGGATTTTCTTTGTTATTACCTAAATGAATAAAAATCTTCAAATTTTGATATAATTTTTATTGCTGTAAAGTTAGTGTTATACTCACATAATAAATAACATATCTGATACAAACGATGCATTCTTTTATTTTGTTAAGTAAAACCATTTTTTTAACTATTAACAATTTTTACACTTAACTTAAGAGTATTTAATTTAAAAATTAATATATAAAAAGATATTTACTTAAAGTATGTATAAGTGCGCGTTGATTGAACTATAATTTAATACTATTTATTACTAAACGACGTTGTATAGTATTTCATTGACGTCCTTTGACATAGTAAGGATTCAATGTTAGATTACAGAATCTAGATTGTGAATGGTTAATCAGTCTTGCGGTGGGCAAGTACGTAAATCTTTTCGGAACATACAAAATTCTATTCTGCGTTACCATGTTAACAAAATTGATTTAGTTTTATTTTCAGGTAAGCTCAAAATTGCTTTCATATCTTTTGACCCCGCACTTCAAATTAATGAAAATATATCGAGTTAAATATCAATTTTATTTAATAAATATATATAAATTTCAATTATTTACAATGATCATTTAAAAATTATAACATGATTATTTTCTAAAATGCCATTTTCAATTAGAATTATATAAAATCAATCTTCCTTAGTAAAGCAAAATACATTGTTTTTCTTTAAATCATTTCATTTAAAAATTGTATAATTTTATTTTCCATGGTTTATAAAAAGTTGTTAATCTTCACTAACAAAATATCAAAATTATCTCAAAATTTGATTGTTCGTCATTATTCTTAGTTCATTTTACGCATGAGAAATGATAGAACCTTTTATGCAATGAATATCAACAAACCATTTGCATTGAAATCTATTAAAAACAAATGTATATTTATAAAAAGTCATAAAAGTGGCATGTGAGTGACTTATTACGCGAGCGCATTAGCGACTTCATACAGTTATTAGCGTCGCGATCATCTGTACAAAACTTATTAATTAATATAATATATATTTTCATTATTTATATATTTATGACTACCATGATAAAAACAAAGATTTTAAAATTTACACTGATTCTTACCATCTTAAAACTATAGATTTTATTTATCTTTATATAAAAATTATGACGACTGACCAAAAATTGAAAACTGAACTTTTTGTAAAAGTACAATAACGTATAATCATTGTTAGGGGCATATATTTGGAAAATTCCAAATTATGCTAAATCGTACTGGATATTAATATTTCGAGGGCTTGGTGAGGCTTCAAAATCTCTGTCAACCATGGCACTATTTATATGTAACATATCCTATATATAACTACTATACATCTACAATAATTAACAAGACAAATCTGCTTCCGACTACGTATTAAATACGAGGTTTTACATATATTATTATTCATCATTTAATCGGTTAAATTTAGTTGATTGAATCGATTCATAACACAGTGGTAAGCACTGAAATCAACTTTATCATTACGTACTACCAAATATAAGTTTGTTTTACATATTCACGATTTAATTAATAGATTTCGAGGCATTTTTCGTTTTTTGCTTCTCGTTTAAAGCTTACAGGACGTCGAGTAATGGCTCCATTACTTTTTACGTTTTATACTTATTTTTGAGTCTAAAAGAATTATCAACAGTCGGGTCGTAGCGTATATGATTTTTATAAAACTTTTCACTTGAGATGAAGAATTTATTTTGTTCTGCGCAGTCCATTAAAAAGCATGGAGTTAAAAAAACGGACGGCGGTGGATAAATCAAATACATCGTGGAATGTATTATTTTTACCGTTTTTCTTAAAAATGTATTTTTGCTTAATTTGTTTAGGTAAAAAAGTTAAAAGTCACCAGTAGAAATGCTACGGAAAAGCCTGAATACAAAATTTGTAAAATGCATTCGAAAGAGCACCAAAGTGGTAATTCGGTAATTGTGCATGGGTTGGGTCAACCATAGGCACCATGTCTCAGTTATTGCTACCATAGCAAATAAAGAAATTTGCGAAAAAGGGGTGGAAAATGTAAAAAGTAACATATTAGAATAAATTAAACTCTCTCCTTCTTTCAAAATATTGAAAAGACCAGAATTTTTTTTCAAGTTCAAAATGGAACTTGTGTCGGTGTTCTATTTCAAAATAGAACTTTTCCAATTAAAATTTTTAATTACTTATAAATACGAATTATAATTCGTATCAGGACTTTTTAATTTTTCACACCCATCCTTTTTCATGTAAAAAACATTTTTACTATGTGAGCGCAACCAGATACAGTCGCTATGGTCCGCAAGTCAGTCTAGTCGTTGAGAGTATAAAAAGCGTTAAAAAGCTTATCCGCACGAGCCTATCGATTTCTCGGTCCTGTGCTCCGTATCATTTATGGCAACAGTTAAGAGTGTGAGACTATAAAAATTGTCTATCAACTCATTAAGGGTTAAGACCCTGACGTTTTTCTTCCTCAAGCATGGCATCAAGCTCGTTAGTCAGGTTGGTCAGCATATTACCGATGTCGCTGAGCACGTCAACAGGTTCGCTAGACGCCGACGGTTTGCTGAGCATGCTCGATTGTTGCTGTGACTGCTGTTGATGTTGATGATGATGATGATGAGACATCATATGACTCGGGCTATTGCTATATTCTTGAGCTGCGCGTGCAGCTCGCTGTTTAATTGTACCGGCATTTTCATTGGCGAATGGCAGAGAGTCCGATTCTGCGCTCGAATTCGACTAGAATACAAAAACAACATTTATTAATAATTTAGTTGAAGTACTTAAAATTTGAAATAAAATAAGATGAGGGAAGAAAAAAAATAGGTAAGAAAACTGTTTGTGCATACCTTGAAGCTAGCATCGGATCCATTTCGATGTTGCAAGGCAAGACTGGCAATAAGGTCGTGCTCGTCGCTTACATTGGCACCGACGCTGCCCCAGCTGCGCGACATGGACGAAGGTGGCCTGCTTCCTAAAACAACGGAAGGCGAGGGCGCCGCCTGTGCAGCCTGCGTAGCTGCCTGCTGAAGCAAGTGCTGCACGTGTTGGGGCTGCGGTGGGGCGGGCACGTAGTGCACCCGACTGTCGTCGCAGTTGGCCGACGTTGGCACCGGGCCACTGCAGTCGATGACTATGTCGCCGTTGTTGCTGCTGCCCACGCTGTTGACCGACGACACGCTGCTCTGGCGGCGCGGAGGCGAGGGTGGACGTCGTTTTATGAGCGAAGGGCTGCTTTCCAATCCATAAGTCAGCTGATACTTGTTGTCTTTATAGTCACGAGGCAGTGACGTGTAGGAACCTTGCGTAGCCTGAATCTGTGAAAAAATTGTCTGCTCTCATTAATATTGCCAGTCAAAAGGGGCGCGCTCTCGAGTTGAAAAGTGAATCTGCGCAAATGCCAAGCTACCTTTGCAACGGGCCTGGGTCGGACCAGACAATGACGCGGCCTGGGCAGCGTGCCGCCACCGATGTTCTCCAAAATGACGGCATGATCGTTCGTCGGCGTGAGGTCGCCGTCGTCGTAGCTGCGCGGCCGCCAGTCCAGTATCTGCGGATGATGCGGCGGCGCCTGGGGCGCTGGCGAGGGCGGATAGCCCAATGGCACGTCTTCGAGGCTCTCGAGGGACTTGCCGCGCGAGCTCGTGATCGACGAGCAGCGGCCGTAGTCGAGACCGCCGCCGATGGCCGGCAGAGCGCCGTACATGCTGCGCCAGCCAGCCACCGTGTTGACGCTCGAGTTACTGCTGCTGCTGTTGGCGCTGCTCATGCCGCTCGACATGTGCTGTTGCTGCTGTTGGTTGTTGTCGGCCGGCCGCTGGAAGGACCTCAGGATCGGTGAAGAGCAGTCCTCGTCCGGCGACGGCAGATCTGGGTTCCCGCGGGTTATCACAACGTCCTACGAAACGAAATAAATTGGTCAATACGAGTTCAATGCAAATCGACTCATTCATACACGATTGCTGGCTCATTTTGACTAATTTGATATTATTTTGCACTATTATACAATACTACTATACAATTGTACTATTATACAAACTATTATACAATTGTACTATTATACAATATGCAGTAGGTCGTCTACGTGATTTATACGAGATACAGGCGCTCGCATCGTTCGAGCACGGTTTCCGATTTCCCAAGATGCGTGCAGTATACCCCCCGATCAAATGTAATAGAAGCTCGGATCGTTTATATCACGACGTGCACGCAGCTCCGAGAGTCAACGTTGAGCGTTATTTCGATGAAAAAGCTCGCGAACGTCTCGAGTCAGTAGTTCGCGACGCAGCAATCATCGTAATTCAGCCGGTTATACTCGACAATAAAATTTATACGAGCCGGGCGCGCACGCGCTTACTCGTTACGAACGAAATGAAGCTGTTGTTTTTATGTATGTGCTGGCAGACGAAAGCAGAAAATTATACCGGAGCCCGGCTACCGCTCGGTCGCGCAAAAGTCGAAACTCATATCGACTCGATAAATGCTCCATGTACTTATCCTCGAACTTTGCGCGGCTTTTTAATGTCCGCAAAATTTAATTCGGTGTACGGGCGCGCAACGGCATTACGAGCGCATTTATCGCTCGGATAAACGTGTCGTAAATCGCGCATTATCGTGCATCTCTTTACCTGCGTGTGTCCAGGATGCGGCGGTAATCTCGCCAGATCGAGCGGCTGAAATCGTTTGCCGGCCCTGATGTCCTTGACTCGTTTGATGGCCAAGAGCAGTTTCTTTTGATGGCCGAGCCTCACTATACCGATGTCTTCGAAATCTTCCCATGTGAGCGTGGTGACGTCGTCGACGCTGCGCATGCCCTGCTGGTTCAGAGGCCCGAGATACTCCTCGAGTCTGAGCAGCCTCAGCCATTCCTCGAGCGAGCCGGGCACGTGTTCGGGTAAGCCGTCCCCCACGTTCAAGTTGTCGATTTCGGTTTTCAAACGCTTTCTGTGGTTTGGCTTTTTTATGCCTGCAATGGATTCAATCTATTTAGAGCTATTCATATATAAGGACCATATTAAAAATCATCGTTTGGAACCATTAAGTGGATGTTGTAACAAAGAACTACTTTTATTCGTACTTGAAAAGTGAAAACCAACCGCATCCCAAGGTCCTTGGCGTAAAATTACCGAAATTTTTAATTTCATGTAAGTAGTCCACTTTACTGACGATTGTCAAGCTTGTGTAATGATTCCGAAAATTAAATTATCTCGCTCTGATTCATTTTTGAGCACATAAGGCAAACATTTGCCACTCCACGTGTCGTCAATTTTGAAGGCAGCGACATACGGTACTCAATTTGTCACAAATTTCACAAGTAATGAGCGGATAAACACAAGCAACATAATCAGAAATACAAAAAATTTGTACGCGTTGAGAGGTGAAGCGATAAGTTTTGATTGATGCATCGCCCGGACGAATCGATACATCAACTTTCACGTATTTAATAATTTGAGAAGATGAGCAGCAAATGAGGAGTCTTACCTATAGCTGTGAGATCCTCTGGCGTCATGCGCGTGATAGTGGCAAGGTCGTAGCCGGCCGATGCAAAGAGTGGAAAGTACTCTTCGAACTGTAGCTCGGTGAGCCAGGCGTGCACCAAGTCGAGATCTGCGGGTCTGTCTGGGTGACTTCCCAGCGAGCTGATCGAGCATCGAGGCGACGACGTGAGTGCACCGGCGCTCCTGGGTCCACCCAGATGATAGCCCGAGGCACGCCCCGAGTCCAGCGAAGCCGTCGAATGACGAGAACCCGAGCCTGAGCCCGAACTGCCTGGACTATCTCTGCCAGGACTTTGTGTCATGTCGATTCCTGCATCGTAAATAAAAATTAACGATTAAAACTTTGCGAAGCCTGAGGCATCTTCAAAGCAAACTATTTCCATCGAAAAAGTGTACTGCTCATGCTTGCACTTATAACGACGTCAACAGCGTGATTTTCTATAATGAACTGGTTGAATACGAAGTCTGGCAAAAAACAAAGCTTCGCGTGTAATTACTGCAAGGAAAATCAATAAGCCCAATTAGCGTTGTCGAGCAGCGTGAGCTAGGATAAATCTGAGACTCGATACTCGGTCCGCGCGAGATTGCTCGGATCTAAGAGGCCACCGAGGCATAGAATATCACGAGGCAGCAGCAGCAGCAGCAGCAATAATGAATCGACGTTAATAAGTATAAGGTATATTTGATCACTCACCTTGATCCTCGGCGTGGGCGTATTTGTTGGCCATGCTGGGAAATGTGAAGCCCGGATGATTGTACATCGGATTGGGACTTTTGCCGGTGGTCATGCCGTAGGGCGAGTCGACGTCGACGACGACGGACTGGCCGCCGCCGCCGCTGCCGACCACGCTGTTGTTGCCGGAGGGCTGCATGGGCGCGACGCCGACGATGCTCGACGACTGCAGCAGTGTGCCCGCCGTCACGTAGCAGCTGCTCCCATCCTCGCTGGACGCGTAACCGGCCGAGCCGAAGCTCGAGCCCGAGTGCCGAAAGTCGTTCGGCACTGCCGGGGGCGCCACTTTTTTCGCCTGCGTCACTGACTTCGAGGGACGACTCATGCCGCCCACTGTAAACAAGCAAAACGCTACGTGTCATTTCATTCTCTCTAACAAGCATATCGCATACAATGTATATTTTGCCAAGTAAGATGATTTTTCTTATTTTTTTTTTTTGTTCTGCTGATAGGGTGAGTATTGGTATCTATATGCGTGTATCGATTCTCTCGTATGATTAACGAGGTCTGCTTTCGCGCGATATTTTCTAGAGGAGGATTACGCCTTAATGCGCTGATCGACCAACCTACGTCATTTGCTGTATCAATAATCACCAAATACAAAGAGAGAATGACCGATTCCCGTAATGAGTATTTGGTTACAGCACTCAGACACTCTGTATGCTCGACACGGTCGATAGATTTTGTCAATTCTTTGACCGGAGCAACGAGAAAAGTAGAAAATCAGTTGCAGGGACAAACTGATATAGTGTATAATAATACACAACGTCATATATTTTCACGTAGACTGCAAGTACGTTACGCTATATTGATTTCATTAATTATCCTATCGGACGCAGCACACTTTCAATTTGTTATCTAGATTTAATTAGTTTGGCCATGTCTTGTAGCTACGTTCGGCGCAAATCGCTCGATGCCCAAGGCAGAAACAATTAACACTTGCTAGCTCGCAGCTATGGTGCTGCGAGCTCACCTACGGATGTAGGTGCAAAAATACGATATAGGCCCGTACCGATCGCTGAAAAGTGAGATAACATTGTTGGTCGCGTAAATATGAAAAATACCTGGAAGAAGGCAGCTATACCGTTAGGGCGTGGTCGCGAAGTTGGACAGAAGGCCGTAGCGGGCTTACCGATTTCAAATCGTAAACCAAACTGGCGAGGAAAAAAGGATGCACCGATCGTCGCGCGCGCGGCCAACAGACTGGAGCGAGAGCTCAACATAATAAAGTACACGTCCATGAGCAAATTGTCGCTTATTTTTTTTTCTTTTGCCTGCTGCTCCGGTACTTTCCTGCCGTATGCGTGTACGTATATGTACGCGCGTACGTACATACGAGCGGGACGGGCTTCGCCATAAATTAAACAGGGCGCGAAAAGAAAGAAGGGAAAGGAATGTCGAAGCAGCGTCATGAGAGTACCACAGCTTCTCGATAAATCAGCGATGCTTGCGGGTGTATAACGTAAGTGCTGGGCTCGTTTCGATCTCGCGCAGCGCAGCGCTCGCTCCGTAGGATACGCACAACGCTCTTCGAAAGGGACCCGCTTGATTGCGGGGGCATTTTTCGTGCAGCAGCGGCAGCAGCAATGGCGAAAACGAAAGGAGGCGAATCATAAATCGGTCAAACTCTTTTTGTACAATTGAATCGAATCGACAAGTCGAAAACAGTATAAACGTACTGGGGTAGATTTTTATTGTTGATTATTTTATCAAGAACTCATTTCTTCGGGTAAAATTGTTGTAGAAATAAAAAATAGTTATAATTATATATCATATCTTTTCTCTGAACTGCAGTTATGTTAGAGAGTAACAAAGCGTTTCTGCAACGAGATTCATAATAAGGATGCATACGCATTCAAGTTACAGAGCGATCAAAGCAAAAAGAAAGAGAGAAAGTGCAAAAGAAAAATTAAAGCAGCTGCATAAAATACATACTTTTGCACTTTAACTGAAGATGTATGTGCCAAGTTAAGCTACGAGCAATAGCAATTCAGCATGTTAACAAAGTCGAAGGGTTACGAGCTACGATACATGCGAGTAATGAGCAACAAAGATTTTTACTGGAAGGTAGAAAGGTCAAAGCTCGACAATTTAAAAAAGAGGATTAAAGTCCAGCTAAGAAAATAATAAATCTGCTTTGCTCAAGAGCACAGCTGCGTATACAATACGCGCACGAGTGAAAATGAAAACTGTCCAATGACATAAGCACGATAGGCTTGGAACTGTCCCCCATGAAGGATGGAAGAATTCACGCGTGACAATGACGACGAGGATGTCACGTTACATAGGCTCAGCTGCGAAACGTCAAACTCTTGCGTCAAACAAAAACTAGGACGAGCAGCAATAATACTTTCAATTTCTATATGCAGATATGTCGGATAGCCATAGAAACAGAGAGAAAGAGAGATAGAAGCAGTTGGAAATAACAACGAAAGAGATCGGAAGTCTGGGCGCAAAACTAACAGTCGAGCGCGCTTTGACGATTTAAGCTGCAAAAGTGGAAAAGGCTCGAAAATTTTGAATAATAAGCAACGAGCCACGAACACTTCTACGCTGTATAAGGTGATATAGATACGAACACGCGGATAAACGTATAAATACCGGCAGACAAGCGACAGCTCGAATAAGTTAGTTATTTCTTTTGGATTTGTGCCAACTGTGAAGCGTTAAATATATAACGATTAATTGTATGATTTATCGTACGAACCAAAATGTGAGAAGCGGCGAAAAAGCGACGGCATAGTTCAGTCTCGTTCTTAGGACGTGCTATAAAGTCCGTCGAAAATAATATAAAATCGTGCGACACGAGGCCGCGATCGGGTGTTTCTTTTGCCAGATCGCTAACTGCGCTTACGCACTCGGCACTCGAGAGCCTGTACACCAACTGTTACGCACAAACACGCTGCAGACACACACGCGCACTTTCTGCGCGGACACTGCGCACGTATATAGGTGCATATACACACACGCGAGAGCACAAAACATACACAAGCTCGCACAGGCCACGGGAGAGATCGTAACGAGGAGGAAACAGGTTTGTCGAGCGCTCGCTCGTATCGAACTGGGCGCGCGCGAGTGAGCAGCCTCGGCGCAGGCAACGAGCAGCGATGTATACCTAAAATTAAAAGACTCGAGAGATCGAGACTTGGACGTCGGAGGCAGCTCCGAAGTGGGAGTTACGAAAAGTCTGTCGCGCGCCGCGCTCGTGTATACAGCAGCGGCTGAGCCTGTTTCTGTTTCTCCCCTCGACCCGCGAAGGCCGCTGCACCGCAGCTGCACCGTCGTGCGTCGAGTAGTCTTATACGCTCTACACACATATGTAGGCTGGCATGCGTGTGTGTAAGTTGTGCGCCCGCGCGCGCGACCAACGCCGCGACGGCACGCGCTCCCGCTCGGGCTCGCATATGCTTTTCCCGGAATTCTACAAGCATCCACTCGACGCGAGCACGAGGCACACTTTTTCTTTGATTTCTTACTGGATTAATCTATGCAAAGATGTGGCTGTGCGAGCATCTGCGCTCCGAGTTTATAAGAAGGCGCGTAAACATGTACTCTTTGATGCTCGAGGCCACAGAGACGCGGAGGAGACGCCAATCCGTTGATTATAAAAGCTCGAAAGAACGAAACAAAGCCTGACATACTTTGAGATGCAAAGTTCATAAACGCAGCGCTACGGCGCGCCAAATAAAAGTCATACTATCCCCGGAGAAAGGATGCTCGCGCGTGTATGCCGCCTGCGTATCGAGAACACCAACGCACGCGTCACCTTCTTAGGCGCATATGCGATAAGTATATTAAACTAAGACCACAAGCTAAGCTGAAATCATTAGATGACGGAACACGTGTAAAATTTCAATAACAACAGTCCAACTTTATTTTTATCGTATAAATTAACACGTGCTTCCGACACAGATCGAATATGAGTATGAAAAATGACGAGATTCGTCTGAACAAGTGCCCCGGAGATGTAAACGCCGTACATTTTAAACTCTTTCGAAGGAGCGGCTTCTCCCTCTACGGATTATGTCCTTTATTAAATAAGCAAATTTACAGACTATCTATGAAGGAAATTGCTTGGAAAGTTGCAAAAGCCAAACACAAAACTGGATAATACAAGCAAAACAAAAAAAAAAGTTGAAAGACGGAGAAACTTCGTAACTAACCTCCGTAACTTTTCTACTAAAAACCTTCAGTCTTGTCATGGAAAAAAATTTAAATATGACTTTTTAGTATACTTGTGATGACAGATCTGTTTGCACAGAATTTTACGAGTGGCCAACTGAGTATTTGATTTTCATCGTTTAATAAAAATTTAATACAAGTCCATTAAAAATTGTGCAATCTCCTAATGACGCCTGAATTAGTGGTTTATAATTAGGCGGCAAGCTGCGATTCGAAACAAAAAGACAACTTAAATCAGCTTCCGGCCGGACACTACAGCTGTCAGCATTTAAGGAAAATTGAGCGTTAGAGATTTAGTGGTTTTAGTCTTTTCCTGCCATTCAAGTGCTCCTCTACGACATGCATCATGCTGGATTATGAGGGTCTGCGGAAGATGGGGCGCTGCAACTTCGAGAGAGGAGTGTATTTTTATCCCGTTCGCAGATGCAACGAATGTATATAAGAAACACGTGCCGTCGTACACTCGAAGTCGTCGCGTGCCAAGTTTATTTTCTGTGTAACTGGAGGCTAAATAAGTGCGTCTCGCGCTTTGAATTTTTTGTTACGTCAGTTGGAGCAAGCCGTCGGCGCAGTGTTTGTGTTATACGGTGTACAGCGAGCGCTTCGCATTTTGCGAACAATCGAACTTTTTCCCGGCGAAAGCATCGGAGTACGGAATTGCACTTGCTTCCGTTTGGATCTTTTATTGAACTACTTTGAGACAGAGTCTCGCGCGCGGAAGTTTCCAAAAATCCAAAGCTCATAGATGCTTGTTTACTCGACTCGCTTCATCTACCACGATTCTCATCGTCGCATCGAAAGTTTTAATTTAGACGATTTTCACTCTCAGCGAGATTTAAATAGCTCTTTTATTTTACAGCGTCAACATTAGGGTGCGAGATATTTCTCAAGAAAAAAAATCATCGCTACCATAAAACTTTTTCTTTCCGATTTAAGAAGAAAATGGCCAATTAAAATATAATATCTAATAAGCGCAGTAGTCAACTACCGGAAGTGCATTTGCGATCGACGTAAATTGTCAGTATAAAAAGTCCATGATATTCTTGCTATTCGGCTCACAGAAAGCAATTATCGCAAGTCGCAGGTAAACTGTTCTCGGGAAAGGCGACAACGATTATGCCCGAACGCTTGAAAACCCGAAGCAAGCGAAG